GTTCCTGTTTGTCCTTATTTGGTCCTTCCAGTTCCTTTTCCCAATATTAGTAATCACCTGTTCCTTGTTATTAGTTATTCTTATCACCTGTCTGCCCCTCGTTATCTGCCCTATTGAGTTTGAGCCCGTTCTGTTCTCCCTTGTCTGGAATTGTTCATGTCAACCTTGCTACGTGTGTTTTTCTGTTTCCTTTTGATTATTACATTTAGTAAAATTCTCCTCGCTCCTTTGCTCCGCGCTCCTACACAGCAGCAGTTCCGTGACACACTGGGTGTGTATTATTATTTTTTTTTTTTACAGTTCACATTGTAGAGCCTCAAGACGTTAACTTTCACATTACAATCTGTTTTTGAATTAAAATTTCATGCTTGATTTGTATTATTTTTATTATTATTATTTTTGTGCTGTATAAATATGTATCCAGGAAAAAATCAATGTATAAAGTATGCATCACGGAAAAAAATATTAATAAACTTCAATACATTATGATCACAGAATTAGGGATCTTGTGTATTTGTGCAGCTGTGCATCTGTAAAGTTCTCAATTATAAACTTAAATTATGCTCTTGAACATCTGAAAAACATTTACTATTTTAAAGGCCCCATAAAATGTTTGACATTTTTAAAAAGCCATCATTTCTTACTTGCTATTACTAGTCCAAAGAAGGTAAATATTTCAGGGGCAGTGGTAGACAGAAATGTAAATTTAAAGCTCCTTAATACAAGAGGCATCATAGTCTGATTTCCCAAGAAAAAAAAAAAAAGTTATTTTTACATGCATGTATCTGCTAAAGGTTAACTTGTCAACTTGTACTAGTAGTATACTATTGAAGCTAACAAATATGAACTAAAAACAAATACAATTGGGATTTCTTGTGGAAGTTGTATTTGAAAAGTGTGCATCTTAGGCATCAGGCAACTGTTGAAAAGTAAACTAATACATCAAAACATGCTAAAATAATCATGCCCAAAATCATGCCCAAAGGTAAAAAATAATCAAATATTAATAGCAATTCACAGACTAATAGATTTGACAGTTTAACAGTTTTTGACAGTTTAAATTAGGGCCTGTTAGTAAAGAAATCCTAATAACTTGACAAGGTTGCATCATGTAAAAACAATCAAGTGATCTGACCTTCAAAGGAAGCACTTCTTTATTGATAGAGAAGAAGGCAGCCATTGCTTTGGTCCAGGAGCAAAGCCCTGCAACATTGCCGCACACCCTCTTGGCTGTTTCTATGTTATAGTCTGCCATGTCAAAGTATGGAGAGAGGAGTTCCACCACCTCCTCATTGATGGTGTCTTTGGGGAATTGCTGGAGGACAAAACAAAAGATGGCGTAAAACAATATTGATGTACAGTATATGGAACATATTTGAAACTATGCTCTTGAAAATGGCAATATTATTTGATATTTGTAGCTCAGCCTTCTGTAAAGTCTGTAAACAGACAGTTTTTAAATATATCAGTATTTATATCTATCTATCTATCTATCTATCTATCCATCTATCCATCTATCCATCCATCCATCCTGTTAATAGGCATAAGGGGGAAAAAATCCTGTTTTCAATAATGCAATACTGGTATCAATATTGCTACTACTAATGGTACTGCTGGTAATACAGCTAAACTAACCCCTAGGGGTTACAACTATATTTTAATTGCCCACCACTAATTAACAAATAATACACGCCTATGCATATCAACAACACAGTGTTCAGATTCGTCCATTCAGTCACAGTGGAGTAATAAACAAAACACAATTGATTTGATTAATCCTGAACACTAAAATACATGGTTACAGTTTCAACAACACAGGTGTCACAGTGTTTTAGTTGTAAAAACATTTTTTTTAAGTTTTGCAATGGGCTGACACTGAAGATTGAAGCAGTTAGTACTTTATTTAAACTGCACAGAAAATCACTATTACTTTTTCACATGATATGAGGACATTAAATAGAATTCAGAACAGAGAAAAGGCCCTGTTTAATTGTGTGGGTGACGGAGAATGGGAAATTAGCTATTTATAAAATTAGTTAGTTTTGAAAACTAAAATATCACTGTTTTGGGGTAAGAAACCTTTACTTTATACGACAAGGGAAAAATGCAAAGAATGGTCTAGTTATCTAATATTAAGGGCTTGTACCTGTAGACTGCCCAGGAAGTTGCCAGCAGTCATGAGTTTGAGTGACTCTTGCCAGGAGGGCATGGTGCAGTTTTTCTCAGGATCAATTTTCACCGTGTTCACTCTCCTCTGGAAGAGCAATGACACACAGTCCATAATACGCATGATGAGGTGGGGTGGTCTGCCCAGTGTTCGCACCGTGGCAATATCTGATGGCTTTATGGTCTGTTTACAGATAAATAGGGAGAGAAATAGAGAAAGAAACAGAGTGACAGTGAATTAGACATCTTGTTAACATTCTGACATACCAACTAGTTACTTTGTGAATAAATTATTCATCCGAGTGGCAGCTGTTATGGCTCATGGTTGACAAAATTTAGCACACATACTGTAAGCTTAATGAGTAATACATGATGGATTTATCTTATCTCTTCTGAATAAAGTAGAAAGATGTATAAAGTGTGGAGTGGAGTGTCAAATTGCAGAGCTTGTGCAAACATATCCATATTGCTATAATCAGTTGCTTTCTTAACTGCTGTTTTCTCACTTATGTCATTTTTGTTGTGTGTTTATTTTGTTATTGAGAGGAAAATGTGACGCATATATTTACATATTCATCTAAACACTGTTCACTAATAGTAAACTGATGATGAGGTATTTCTAACTTCTTTTCACCCCTAAACGAAGAATGGAAAAGAACTTTGCTGTGAGCATATCAGCGCCTTCAAAGGGCTTTTGTTCATTTTGTTTTTAGATCAGAATGTAAATATGTTTCTTTCAATTAGAATTACAACTTAAATTTCTACTTTAAAGCAGCTCTCCAGTGTGTTCAAGTTCTCATCTCTGACCTCAATGGATTGAATAGAAGAAATTAACCAGAGAAGATTTCCAGATCCTCTTCAGATTCTGTCACTCCCTCTAGCACATTAGTTTGGAAGTAATTGCGTGGTGTTGGCACATTCCTTGCTAGAACTGAGTTAAGTATGAGCAACCATCAGCCAATAAGGGCTACATAGCATAGAGTTAGTATGCTATTTGCAACCCACTCTCTCAGTCGCCACCTCCAGTCCTTAGACTGGGGCCAGTAGCTAGACAAGAAAATATCAGCTCACTTTCTTAAGGGACCTGCTTATACAAGCAGCACACTCCCTTGGTAGGTCGGCGGTAAATGTTTTTCAGTTCCCTGTGTTAAGGTGATGATCGGGAAAAACAGTGGACAGAGAAGAAAGCGGCTTTGATCGCCTTTAGCATCCCACATTCTCTGTTGCCCCCTCCAGTTTCTTTAGCTCGGAGGTGATGGTGTAGATAAGGTACATCGGCACACTTTCCTAGTGGACCATGAGGAAAGGGTAATTACAGAGCATGAGATTTAGTAGCCAGAGGTGCTCCACTCTTTTGTCTGCTGCCTTTCCAGGCTGGATCTTCTTAAAGTACTTTTGCTATTTTCCTCTAAGGACGACTGAGGGTCAGAGTGGGCAGGAGGGATTCCTCCTTGGAAGATTACCTACAGATTTATACCTACAGTCTTAGGATCAGTCTGGGTGCAGGAACGCCTCTACTCTGCACTCTAAAAAATATTGGGTTATTGTTTTATTAACCCAAAATGATGGTTTCAGCCTGTTGGGTCATTTTATTGGGTTGTTTTTAATATTTTTAAGCAGGTGCTGGGTAGTTTTTCTGCACTCTAAAAAATGCTGGGTTATTTTTTTTTTAATTCAAATACTGGGTTCAGCTTGTCGGGTCATTTTATTATTATTATTTTTTTTTACCCAGCTGCTGGATAGTTTTTCTGTAACTAAGCTGCTGCGTAATTTTTAATGCTGGGTTATTTTTTTTTACCATCTGCTGAGTTACAGTCAGATTGTGAGCTTTTAACGCAAAAAGCTCGCAATCTGACTGTAACTCAGCAGCTGGGTTATTTCGTCAAAGACTTCCTCTCTACAGGAGCGAGCGGTTCTCAGTGCCACTGCCACCGATTTGGTGCACTCCCTCAATGAGATAAGGGGGTTCAATGAGGGTTTGTATACATTTTATTTCATTTGTAAAGTCTTTACTGAGCTGTAAATTATATTATTTTATGCAATGCAACACAAGAATGAGATGTCAGTCAGCTAAATGCATCAGCAGCGGTCGTTTTGCATGATGAAAACGTCTTTTGACTTGCTTAACATAAACTGATTTTATTCATTATAATACTGAATTAAATTTAATTTGGTGTTTAAATTTGTTTTCTAATCTCAGTACTTTTTGTTCATGGGCAAGTTATGGAGTCAGTCACGGCATCTTTCAGCTACAAGTGAAACGCGAGGCGGTGGTCTGAAGTTCGCAGTTCCCCCCGCGAATGCTTGTTAAATGAGTTTAAATGTTGTCAGCTATGCTGTATTCACCCCAATACATTCAATGTGTCTTATATTTTGTCCATGAGTGTTCTTGCTTAATAATAAATGTTTATCCTTTAAATATTCTGTTGCCTCTAGTAATTCTATGTGTGATTTTTAATTTCCAGCCCATTTTAAGCCAGCAACATAATAATTTTTAAACAATAGTTGACTTAAATAAAGCAACCAGCATGTTGGGTAAAAACATTTAACCCAACCAGCTGGGTCAAAATAACGCAGCATGTGTTTTGTCCAATATTTACCAAAGTGCTGGGTTGCCAAATAACCCAAGTTGGGTTTTTATACCCCAGCCTTTTTTTAGAGTGTAGGTAAGTATTAAAGAGCATTGAACTGCATAATTTATTCAGTATAGCATAGTGGCTATTAATGTTCCTGTAATGTCAACATCATGACAAAATGTTGAGTTCCCTCAAAAGGGAACATCTCAGGATGATGTATATAACCCAGTTTCCTGACAAGGGAACAAGATGCTGCACTGCATTGCAACACTTCAGGCATGCTTGCGCATCCTCCTTTAGACAATTCAAAGCCAATTATGTTTTATGTGGATGCCCTTTTATAGTATGCCGGTGCACCCAATCATAAGACTGCCATAGCCAATCTGGATTTTCGTGTATCCACATGTGCTTCAGACACCAGTTACACTAAAGGTATTCCCACAGTGTCAACACCATGTTGCAGCATTTCGTTCCTTTCTCATGGAATGCATAACTGTGATACAAACTTTGTCTTGGCCTGATTTTATTTGAAATTACATCACACAAGTTCTTCGATTTCACTTTGAGTACACTTAGGGCTTTAAAAGCTTTGGGAAACTCACTGAAAACAACGTAGGGCCTCTGTAAATTATTCAAAATGTATAAAATATCTGATTAGAATATTATGCCAAATAAGTAAAGTATATTTTAACATATTACATATATAAGCTACTGTATAAGCTAGAGTAATGAGCTATAAGTATGTAGCTACATTTTAGATCTGCGTCATCTAGAGCAGACATGTATGTATGACACACCTCCTTTGAAATGTGCACAGAAAAATGAAAACAGAAAAAAAAGAAAGAGTCCAAGAAATGATGGAATGCATTATGGACAGATTCATGGGAGGGACACAGTGGGCAGGTGGTGGAGGGAAAACTGGGGTATGTGTTTGGGTGGTTATGTGATTGAGTGGGTGTGTGGGGTTGGTTAGAGGTGGCTGCTGTCAGACCCCTGCTCGCTACGAGACCCCCTACAGCAACCCTGCCAACACACAGTCTATTTTTACACCCTCACAGGCAGCATGTAATTACACGGAAGCTGCAGGCACCACAATGCCCCATGAACATCACACTCCTTTCCTTCTCTCCTCTCCAATACTGCCATGTAATCGCTCCATATTGTTCCTGACCTGCAGTGCTGCCTCAGCCTCTTCCAGAGCAGGCCTTGCTGCCTCTAACTTCTCTTCAGCGATGGCCTTGTCTGCAGAGATACTGTCCACTATGGCCTGCGCTTTATCTTTGACCTTCTGAACTTCGACTTTGACATTTTCAGCAGCCTGAGCCTTCACAGTCACCTCCTTCAACACCTGAAACAAAAATGAGAAAAAAATGAAAACACTAATATCAATGTTGTAATACCTGCAGCATTTCATGCTATAATTCTGAGTCTGGGGCTGTTAATTTGTCATCCTAATGCTTCAGAGAACAGTATTGATCTTTGGTTAGCCTGTGACTGGGAGGCAGTTCTTTCACCGAATGGATACTTTCAAGCTTTATGCAGCGTGACGAATTTCATTTAGAACAGAATAGAATGTAGTAGAATGCAACATTCCATACAAACAGCATAATGAAGCCAAGTCATGATGTAACAGAAATAGCAACAGATATTTTCTTCTGTATTGTGATGTACATCAGAGTGTAACGAACTATCGGAAAAGAGAAAACTGTACAGTTGGGACTTGGTTCTATGTATCAGTTGTCGATTGGATTTCGAGCTGTGTGTATAACACTCAAAAGTGGAGGTAGATGAATGCAAGCTTGCAGAGCCATGGTTTAAGCGGACTAATTGATTGGACAAAGTCCTGCATACATCACTGTTTTCAATGGAAAGTCTAGTTATGACAATTTAATTAAACATTACAAAAACAAAACACTTTTAAAAAATGAAGCATACGCACTGAGTTGTTTACAATAAGATTTATAACATGCATTTAGAGAAACTTTTTTTTTGCTGACTATAGAGATAGCACATGCACATTAATCACAACAGCATTAATCAATGCAAGCAGTTCATCTCAAAATACATATATATCCCCATCCACATATAAAGAATTCCTTGGACCCATATTGAATATTGCTTGTAGTGTTGGCAACTGCGCATTACTGGTTTAGTCTTCTCCTGGGGACATCTGAATCTTTTACCAGGAGACAGTAACTGAAAATCACTATAGAGAACTGTCTTCTGAGCCTGTCTAATGAGAGACTACTTGTATATTAGCTGGAGAGAAGGGCAGCAATTAACACAGGTCTTCTTTAATAGATCATCAATGGCAGTTTTTTCAAGGTGAGAAATCTGTGATTGTATCAGTTCTGACAAGTTACTGCAATAATTTGTGACGCAGATCTGATTAATTTCTGTAAGACTGCCAGACACACTTAAATGCCTAGGGCCATTGATTGTTAAAAGATAAAAATAAAATCAAAGTGGGTCAACATCTTGTGCCATGACAGCCATGTTTTTAAAGAGTATTTCAAATTAAAAAGAGTTCAACTTCAACATGCTTGGAAACCCCCTGCTTTGGCGAAGCCTATTGCCTTCAGATTCAGCAGCTGGGTTGACTGATGAGATTTTTTAAAATGAATTAATCTAAATGAAAGCATCAAATTAACAGAACCTATAGAGGCCTTGAAAAGGGGGAAAAATTGGAACAAACAAACAAACAGGTTTACTGTCAAAATAACATGAGATCTTACTTTTACCAGCAATACATTTAATTTGTGATCAGATTTCCAAAAGCTATGGCCACAACCCACTGGGCATCCAGTGTCAGGATGCTGGCTTGATAGGTCCAGTTGTGTTTGTCTCTTTGTTCATTCAGGGCACATGGCTGTAGTGTTTGTGTTTTGGTGCATAGTGTTTGTGTTCTGTTGTGTTTAGCCATGTGTTTAACTGTCAGTTGTTGTCCAGCCCACTCTGTCTTGTTAGTTTATTATCATTCTTACCTGATTCTCACCTGTTACCACTCTTTTTTTTAAACTGGGTTAGATTGTGTTTTTACATTTATTCATTCATGAATAATCAATAAAAAGCTCCCGCTTGCACATCCAGTTTATTTATTTTTTATTTTTCTTCATCATCCCTCTTTCAGATTTTTATTTTTTATTTTTTTTATTTTAAGTCTTTCACCACGGTGGTTTACCTTCTGTTTCAGTTAAGTTTCGTTTTTCTCTTTTTATTTTATTCATTTTTTTTTCTCTCCAGTTTCCCCAGCTTCCTAGCTGCTGTTCCCCCCACTGCCATCTCCCTCTCTCCTTCTCCCTGCCTCACCTGCCACCATTGCCAGCTGCTCCTCTGCCTCATCAAACAGCATCGCTATCCTTCTGTGCAGACTGCTCTCCCTTTACTGGCTGCGTTGACTTGATCTTGTCTAGCCCTTGTTTCTCCATGTCAAATAAATATTATTTTACCCTGCAACTTGCATCATCCTCTCTCTGGAACCCTGACATCCAACAGTAGGAACACCTACAAACAACCAACAGTACAGCGACCTGGCATGTGAAAATTGCTGTCAGTATAAACCGTTTAAAAAGTCTGTGAAAAAACCCCCCCACATCATCTAGTGCAAATATGGGTAATTTTAGACCTGTTCTGCAGAGTTTAATTTCCATACCTAATCAAACACACCTGCATGTAATCTTCAAGCAATCCTAAAGACTTTGGTTGGATTTTTCAAGTGTGTTTGATTAGGGATGGAGCTAAAGTCTGATGGACATTGATCCTCCAGGAGCGGAGCTGCACATCCCTGATTTAGTTTAAACTGAAGCAGAGTCTATGCACTCATGCGCTGTCAATCTGAACAAACTGACCTGCACAATATGTTGGTCATAAATAACTACAGGCCTGTAGTCTGTTATTTCTTTTAAGGACACATATCCTTTCCTTCGTTTTGTCCCCAGGACACAAACATATTGGCATCTGAGTAATAAGCCTTTGTACTCCTGTCCCTGTACAACAAACCAATGAACTTCAATATTGCCTGGAAATTTCATTTTTGGGATGATGACTCAAGCACTGTGTACAGAATGAAGTGGACAGGGGAGCGGACACACTCCTGAGGGGCAATTTTGAAGTAATCAGACTGAATTGAAAGTTAACAAACACATTTACCATATCAGCCTTCTCATTGGCTATTTGAAGTTCTTTCTCCTTCACCTCCAGTTCTTTGCTGAGGGTAGCAACAGACTCAGAGGCCTCCTTGAGTTTTTGAAGGCCAGTGTTCATCCTAATGAAACAAAACACTTAGAAATTAAACTCTACACATGGTTCCAAACTCCATCATTAATTTTTACAGAAAGTCAGGGGGGGATCCACTAACAATGAATTGCGCCTGATGATAGTGCTGTTTATTTGCATGGACTAAATGAATTATGCAAATTGGGTAACAATAAAATTGCACCTACAAAGGTCCATGCACAGCGCAATTTCAGATATTGCAGTAGGCTGTGGAGGATGCAGAACATTGCTGCAATCTGGGGTGTTTTGAGGGGATTTTATTGTATTACGCCACAGCATCCAATCTACCATCTCATTTTCTTTGGTCAGTAATACTACAGTAATAATACCAGGCAAATATAGTCTGGTTTTTGCATAAAGTAATGTAGTGTATGTATGTTTCTATGTGTTCTAAACAAGTGTTTCTATGTAGTGTAATTTACATAGAAAGGTGGCATGTTTGGGCTAAAAGGATTGACAATGTCTTTATTCAAATATACAAAGCGCAGCACTATTTCAAAATGAGGATTAGCACCTGGTTATAATGAGTTGTTTTTTTTCCTGCATAAATGTAATGCACAAAAGTGGCATGACACTTTAGTGAATATTTGTTTAATTCACCCCTCAAAGTTAGGACATGATAAAAACCATTTGTTATAGATGTTATAATATATATGTTAGCGTTACGCGACGACAAGGAGCCTCTAACATCGGGCCTTGAACCAGGAACCAACATTTCTTCTACATGTCTAAGGCACGTAAGCATCGCCGCGTGACCTTGATCATGCGAAGCGGATTCCCCCTCGGGGGAAATCCCTTGGTTCTGAGCCACCACTGCAAGGGTCTCATGTACAGCAGGCCAAAAGGTATCACGTTGGACGCCGCTGCCATCAGGCCCAACAGCCTTTGAAACTCCCAAAGCGATCTCGACGCAGCTCGAGTTCCTGAAGGGGAACTACACATATTCCAATAAACTAATGAGATTTAATTCAAAGTTGGTTTGTTTTTCACACCTTTCTATCATATGGTATCAAGAGACTTGGAATACAGCTCATGAGTCATATGATTTTATGCTACCTTGGTAGCCCCTGGTTACTGTATAGCAATGCATGGCAAAGAACAGTCTGAACAGTTTCTTCAAAACACCTCCTTTTATGCTCCACAGAAGAAAGAATGTATTATGGATTTGGAATGACATGAGGCAGAATAAAGGGTTTCAGATTTTTAATTATTTAGTGAATAATTCTTTGAGGTGATCATACTCCTTGGAAATTATTTATTGAAATGAACAAATCACCTTAAATTCTCTCCAAGCCCTGTCAAGCATTTGGGGTACATTAGAATTTGGATCTTTGAAGCGTTGATAAGTATTTACTTGAGTTTATCACACTTAAAACAAGTGTTTTATTTGTAATAGACCCTCCATTGCGACACAGTTTAGATAGCATGGCAAAATGCAAGCCTGTATAGACCTTTTGTGTCAGAGAAACAAATGCACAGCCATCTTTGGAATTTTGTCTTTGAACTTTGGTTTTTGCAGTAGCTCTATAGAGCCACCGTTGAAGAGTAATAAACTGGTGAAGTGGATTTAGTTAATAAAAGTTACTGTGCATTGTAATGTTTGAAGCGAATGTCATAACAAATGTCAGACAGGGAAGATTTTAAAATGAGCAATTCATTCATAAATGTGTACAACCATACCTTAACGCTGTGGAAATACAGAAGACAAGGAGCGCAGCGCTGAAAAGGGGGGAGCTACATAAGATCTATAACTAAGCATACAGTATGGTTTAAAAATCTATAACTACTATAGATAAAGTATTTCTATGTTGTGTTTTGCCAATTTAATACTTTATTTTCTTTAAAAATAATATCATTAGCAGTAAAAAGTTGGACGTGATTTTAGTGTGCTCCTTTTACTTACAGCAGCACCCAAGCTGGCATGGAAGTGAAAAGTATTTGCAATCCCAGTATGATTTGAGAATATTCCAAGGAGTATTTTGTGGTCATCAATGGAAGTTTTTGACATGTTAACATAGCCAGTATCACAAATTTGCTCATTTGATTAGAGACCTAGAAATAGTGCAATATCTCATTTCTTTTTCAGTTTAGACCATACTGTTTCTTAGTTCTAAATATTCAGAAAAACTAAAACAGTTATTTCCAGGTTTTATGCTGGAGTCTGTCTCATCATGTCCTCTAAAGACTCATCTTGCGGTTCTGCTCTCTTTTCAGAATCTTGGATAATCATTTGCAATAAACTCCTCTGTCTTCCAGATCGACACACCAGTCTCACCTCATCAGTTTCCCAACTAAACCCTGAGATCCTCAGCATAACTGAGAGCTTGTGTGTTTCATTAATATTCTTGAGCAGGGCCATCTCTCCCCAGGTCCTCGAGTGCTCTTCTCCTGTGCAGTCAATTCTCTTTATGTACTTAACAGCATGATTAATGAAATAACAACCTTCACCAAACCCTTCTGACCAAAAACAAGACTTTATGACGGTTTAAATGATAGCGAATTATTCTCAAACCCCTTTATTTATTCAGGGATGGTGAGAAAGACACATTGGAACATAGTGTTAATTAAACACATTTAGTCATTTGTAAAGCTTTTTATTCTTCCTGGTACTTCTGGTACTGGTAATTCTCTGACTGTCTTCCCTGTGGCTTCCTACTCTTTCTCTCTTCTTCTTTCTTGAAGGCCCACGTGGAATCTTTTCACACAGATCTCTGCAGATTGTTCTGCTGATTTCCACAGAATTTGTCTTTAATAACATATACCCTTTGAGTTTTTGTTTATTAAATATTATGCAAATTTGACAGTTTTTTTCCCTACCATAATAACAATACAATAATAATGTTAATCAGATCTTAACCATGTTTTAATCCATTCCACATATATATCCCCAAAATCAGCACAAACAACACCCTCTCAAACCCGTAATAATTCACACAAGCTGGCAAAATTGTAACATTTAGCAGGACATCAACCACACAAAAATGTATGACTTTTATAGTTTTTTCCCCTATTAATATTATGGTTTCAATTTTAGTGATTTTCCTTTTATTTTAAAGGAAAATCACTAAAAGGGCTTTATCTTCCTAGTTAAAAAAAAACAAAAAACAAAAAACCAAGGCTCCCTAATTGAAGGATTTTTTTTTTGTGCTGACGAAATAAGTCACAATGAGCAAAATTTCAAAAATGAGTTATTTCTATTTTCACATTCTCCATTAAAAGACCTTAACAATTATATGATTTGTTGGAATCGGATGAAAAAATGACTGAGCTACATCCGTTTGAAGTCGATTGTCAGACTTTGTTCCGTGTTTTGTGTGTCTTGCTCCCCATGTGCCTTCCTACGCCCATATTTGGTTAGTTTCCTGTTCCTGTCTTGATTAGGTTTATTGATCCCAGGTGTGTCTCGTCCTCTCCTCCTCCTGTCATGTGTATAAATAGTGTTCCCTGTGTGTGCTCCAGCGTCCGGTATTGTATGTGAATGTTTATGTCTACATGTATAGCGTGAGTGTTCCTTTGTGTTAATTAAACCCAGTTGGATTGATGTACTCCTCGTCGCTCTCCATTCCTTGCTCCTGACTCCGCTCAGCAGTAAACCCGTGACAGAATACCGTTCACTCCTATGGACTGTTCTGGACTCTCTCTACGGAATTCTCCTAGAAAGACTTACCCTCTGTTCCTCCCGCGATCCTCCAACGACTCCTTGGAATCTGTTCCACGATCTCCACGAAACCGGCATATGTTACACCCCATCAGAACTCAGATAAGAACCCTGGAATCATTCACTGTGTTGACACTCACCAGCCTTTACCTCACCCGTTCCATTCTTATGCTTAACCAGTCAATAAACCATCCTGTTTTGCACTTACCTGTTGTGTTTGGCCTTGCTTTGTGACTTCGATAGAGTCAGCAAACTCAATTTTGAGAAAAATCGAGTTAAAGTTGCATCTTTTCCTCCAGTCCTTTTCTTACTATATTAATAACAACAATATAGCAATTTTTATTTTATCTTTGTTATTATAAATAAGAACAGATGCACAAAAAAAACTGTAAAATATAAAAAAGCAAATACTGCATTACCGTTTTCATTTTATATCTAAACCAAAGAATTCAAGTAAGAAAAACAAATAATCAAATGTAAAAATCCCTTTAGTGTGTTCATTACAAATAAATTGATAATTAAAACTACAAAAGCAGTTCAATCTAGAGCAGCAAGTGACTCTTTTCTTTTATTGTTAGATTAACATTAATGAAACAGACGACCTATATATTACGACCTACTCTAATGCACGGATCTAATATGTTACACATCAGATGTTTTTCTCCAACAGTTCCCAAACATTCACTTAAGACAAAACAGTTTATGTTTGCGTGAATAGCCTACTTAAATACTGTAATTCTGTGTATATGTGTATATTTATCTGGATCGCGTGCTGTGGGAAGAGTTTTTATGCGGGCGCTTCTGATGAGAGTCATCACGAGAAGTGAGCGGCGAAAAGGTACTACTCTGAGAAAACATACAAATAAAGATAATTTTAGATGTTTAATTACTATTTGGAGCATTGGGATCACTGGACGAGGGCTTAATTAACTTATTTTTGTGAAAATATCTATCTATCTATCTATCTATTCATGTATACCATCCATCCATCCATCCATCAATCAGTCATTATTATGGTAATTATTTATTTTAGAGTCTCTTAACTAGTTGCTTATTAGTATGCATATTACTAGAATATTAGCCATTTATTAGTAGCAATTAAGCACATATTAATGCCTTATTCTACATGACATTATTCTACAGCCCTAATCCTACCCAATACCTAAATTTAACAACTACCTTACTAACTATTAATAAGCAGCAAATTAGGAATTTGTTGAGGGAAAAGTCGTAGTTAAAGGGTTAGTTCACCCCAAAATGAAAATTCTGTCATTAATTACTCACCCTCTTGTCGTTCCAAACCTGTAAAACCTTCGTTCATCTTCGGAACACAAATTAAGATATTTTTGATGAAATGTGAGAGCTCTCTGACCCTGCATAGACAGCAACTGCAATGTTCCCAGACAGAAACGTAGTAAGGACATCGGTAAAACAGTCCATGTGACATCAGTGGCTCAACTTCAGTTTTGCAAAGCTACGAGAATACTTTTTGAGCGCAAAGAAAACAAAAATAACATAATTTATTCAGCATATCATGTAGTGAATTCTATTAAAACACTGAATCAGTTGACAGCCCTAGGAAAACACATTGTAGGCTCAGGAGAGCTGCTACTTTTGCTCCCTTTTAGACTCACTTATACACACTCATGTATATTCACATACAAACACATGTATTCACCACACTTTATAACACATATTTTCACAAACAAACACCCAAACAGTTTAAGTAGCTTAGGCTGTTAGATTAGGATCCGTATTGAACCCAACAATGGCACTATTTCAGTGCAGCGTCAATGTATGTTAAACAGTAGGGGTGGTTTAAAGTGTCCTGGGGCTGTACGTTCATATTCAGGGAAAACATGAATCATCACGTTACTGAGTCTTCAGTTTTACTGGCCCCTGCTGATGTTGTATCTGCCGCAGATAATAACTGTCCTAAACAACCCATACTTTTAAACCAGCTCCTACACTCAATCACCACAGCAAACAGAACATTACAGGAACACCATGATGGGAAAAACGTAATTGAAAATGGAAAATATAATTTTTCATTTTTCCAGAACGTCTGCCCACATTATTGTACCTGTTTCTTTGTATCATCTTGCTATGTTCTTTTTCTAGCAAAGTAAATTGCTTGTGAATGATTATGGGTTTCACCAAACAAAGAAAAATAACAAGACAGCATGGATTTTATTTTGACTGCTGTTGCTTTTTTGTCCAAAATAAGTTAATTATAAACATTCAGCACACACATGCTGAGTTGAGAGCTCAGTTTACTGTAAGCCACTGTTTTTATTATTACCCACAATCCCTTCTGTCATAGTAGTCAGAACTGATTCAGCATAATCTTTTATGACTTTGGTGTACCTCAAGGTTCAGTACTGAGTGATCTCTTGTTTTCTTGGACACATTGCTCTGTGAAGAGAACAGTGTTTAGCAAGTCTATTTTAAATGTGTCTTCTTGTTTGTCACTTTGAATGATGCTTATATGATCAGTTGCATTTTTGTTTCATTGTTATTCTTCTCTCATATTTTATATCTCTTAGAGTTGTAAATATGTACCTCTTGGGGTTCTCTTGAATCAGGCTTTTTCTCATAAAAGAAATATTGTGCTTTTTGCATACTAATGGGCCAATTTGAAATCAACATACACTGCAGGGTACCTGAAAAGTGTTTGTGAGAGGGAGAGCAAGCTTTTCTTCTCAGTATTTTCTTTTATATAATTCCTCAAATGTTATGCTTATCCAGGAATAAGACACACATTCAATAAGCTGTTTTTTGTTGTTGTTGTGTATAGGCAACATACCGGCCATTGCTTAAGCAGGTGCTAGAGGAGATCTTCCACCCAGACAGACGTGAATGCCCTGATGTAGAGCATATGTCGGGGGGACTCACTGACCTTCTCAAGACTGGCTTCAGCATGTTCATGAAGGTAACTCACACTCACCTCCTTTTTAAGCAAATATCCACATATTCTCAAGCAAATACAATCTGGAGTCACACAGTGACACAGTTCATCTCATCTAGTAAGTTTTATTAACAGTTCCGTGTTGCTGGGTGTATGTTGCTAAAGGATGGGTTAATTTGAGTTCCAAGAAATCCCTTATATGGACAAAAGCATTCAACTATATACGTTTTGACTAATGACACACGAAGACAATAAACACACAATTGCGACAATCAGATCACAATCAGAAGTTATTTTAAACACCCAGTTGACGTTATATAGTGAGTTTGGAACAAAAACATCGTATTAATCTCATAAATTGTTGTGTTTTCATGCTATGCTAAGCTAACTAGCTCTACGAAGGGCATTTGATAGAAAGGCAAAGAAGGTGAAGTGAGAAGTTTGATCAAAGAAATGTGGGGTTAAAACAGGGTGAATAGAAAGTTATTATATATAATACAATAAGACAAAAGAATCATAATCACCATAAGACATCCCAGTTGGTGAGGTGTGACTGTGTGCAGGGAGAGACAGAACATGAATGGGCAGGTTGACTGAATGGATGCTTAGAAAATCTTAGAAAATGTGAATAAACATCAGTTAGCATTTTGGAGTTTCCTCTAAATAAACTCACATTGCACAGTCTTAAATATATTTCATAAAACCTAGAGATTTAGAGATATCATCCTCAGATTTGAAATGGAACATGCTCAGACTTTTAACTTCAGCTGCATTTGGTTTCTAGACTGCAACAAGGCCAATTTCATGGTAATGATTTATAAACACTTGAAAAGACATGTAAGCCTTTATAACTATTTCTCTTCATGATTCTGATTTGATGACAGCAAAATACCAAGTGTATACTATTAAATTAGACAATTATGGCAACTATGCTTGTAGTCCAAAGTCTTCATGAACTGTATCTATTTTAGTATATTTTACCATTTCTTTGGTTAGGTTTCAAAAGGGGGGCGCACATTAACAGGATATCTTAAAGGGTTAGTTCATCGGTAAAAGGACATCGGTAAAACTGTCCATGTGACATCAGTGGCTCAACTTCAGTTTTGCAAAGCTACGAGAATACTTTTTGAGCGCAAAGAAAACAAAAATAACATAATTTATTTAACAATTCTTCTCCCCCGAGTTACGTCTTCCGCCATTTTGGAGAGTACCCAAGAGCGTAATTGACGTAATCAGCGTTGCTTACGTTCGGGGGAGAAAGCGTGTGCATGAACGTAATCTGCGTTGTTTACGCTTAGGGGAAAGCGTGCATATGTGTTGTGATACTCTCTAAAATGGCGGAAGACGTAACTCGGGTGAGCTCTCACATTTCATCAAAAATATTTTAATTTGTGTTCCGAAGAAAAACGAAGGTCTTACTGGTTTGGAACGACATGAGGGTGAGTAATTAATGACAGAATTTTCATTTTTGGGTGAACTATCCCTTTAATAGTGAATAAGTGTTCCCTATTCTAAAGTGTTACCATTGTTATTATTATTATTATTATTATCGTAACACTTTAATATAAGGACCAATTCTCATTATTAACTAGCTGCTTATTAGCATGTCTATTATTAACATATTGGCTGTTTATTAGTACTTATACAGCACATATTCTGCATGACCATATTCTACATCCCTAATCCTACCCAATACCTAAACTTAACAACTACCATACTAACTATTAATAAGCAGCAAATTGAGTTTTTTGCGGCAAAAGTCGTAGTTAATTATTTGTTAATGGTGAGAATTGGACCTTAAAATAAAGTGTGACCATTATTATTATTATTATTATTTAAGATTAAGCTTAGTCAGGACAAGAGCCACAACAATATTATATATCTTGGAATATTTTACACATGTGCCCTGTTTCTTTCAATAAATGTAATTCTAAATAAACAGTTTGTCTATCCAACTTATCCCTCTTTCCACCTTCAGCTCTGCAGAAGTGTAGTGTTCTCCCCTGAGGTGCGGTCATGCTAATGCAACACCTCCTCAATGCTGCTCTGTTAGTTTCAGTGTGATGGATGAAATCCACAACAAGTGAGTGCAGCCAATGCTCTCTGGCAGGTGTCACATTCCAGGATGCAGAGCTGACATTTTTTTCGCCTCTTTGACAAACCCATCTGTCTCTCTAATATGAAGCAATGCATCTCGTGACTCGCAGATGCCATTTATTTGTGTGTCATTACCACACAGAATGAGCTCTGTAATTTGTCAGAGGGCAGGGTGACACACTCTCTTTGTTTATTTTCATTATGGCGCCTCAGGAAATTTGACTTATTTGTAGTGAAATAAAGGTTGAGTTATTAGGGGGACATACGTTGTAACCTTGGGAACACATGTAGCTTGGCTATTTTAGTGTGTGTTCTAAAAACATTATGAAACGGCTCAGAATGGATGCTGTGGGGCTTGTGGGGAAGGATGCTTCTATAAGCATGGTGTCAGAATGGCTGTCTGACCTCTCCTGATGAAAGGACGTTGTTCATGTACTCCAGGAAGGATTCATCCTTGATCTCGTTGTCAGTGAAAATAAAGCTGATGCCTTTGCCCTGTTGTCCGGCAGTCCTGTACAATCCCTTCAGGTCCTCCATCAGGTTGAGGGTGTTGTAGGAACTAAAAACACAGCATGCAAAACAGTAGGCTTTATTCCTCTGGAAGGGTTTCCCAAACTGGGGTTGATAAAAAGCTATTAATTCATTCATTAAAAATAATATTAAAACTAAAATAAATAATTTTAAAAGAAAAACTAAATAAAACATTTACTAAAAATATATATTTTATTTGTTTACATGTCATGTGACCAGTAAACAAACAAATAAATAAAACATCAAATAATCATGAACATGTAAATGTGTTGTTAAATTATTAAAATATTTACTTAAAATCACAGTGTGTATACAAGTAAATATGACAAAACAGTAATACAGTATGTGTAGTTTTTTAAAAAATATGAATTTATCTTATAATTAAATGTATGTTTTTTTTTGTGTGAATTGAAACTATTATGAACTTATGATTATGAAATCATTTATCCTTTAATATTGCTATGAAACATAGCTCATGCTCAATTTTAGATTCAATTGCACACTTTTCTTCTTGGCCTACTTCCTGGCCTATAGCTGTGTTCCTTTTTCTGAACATATGAAACAAATCGAAATTCTGTATTTTATGCATTAATACGATTATCATCACAATTACTACATTACAGCGGGAGATCACTTCCTGTTCCTGTCTGCCGTGCTGCTGAGTGCGTTTGTATCTCCGTGTAGCTTTGTTTATCTGTTGAAATCTCTCTTACTATCACTCTCTGTTGTTTAAATCGCTAAAGTATAATTTAATTCTCACCATATTTCTGATTTGATCACCAAACGAATTTGACATCATCCGCCTTTAATCTTTTAATCTGAACTGCGAGCGCTGCACGTTAGCATTCCGTTACCCTATTAGCTTGTCAATCGCATCTCCATTCGCGTTTCCTACCGCTTCTTTTTCTCTCTGTCTCGCTCTGTTTCTTTTCTCTCGTTCCGTTTTTTAACGAGTCCATCAACAACTGTGGTGAGTCGGAATTATTCTACAATCACGGTGAGTAATGGCTTCTCCTTGCATTGTCACCTGCACCGCATGCCACATGTATAGTTTATTTCTCGCTGTCGGTGACCAGGGACTCACATGTGATAAATGCAGGGAAATAGTTAGGCTGACAGAGAAGGTTTTAGAATTAGAGACACGCATCCAAACTTTAACTGAAGACAGTAAGAATGTGAGGGCTGTAGGGCTTTGGATGCGATTAGTTCAGCGAATCATGTACATTGTTCGGTTCCGGTTCTAGAGCACGTGCAGCAGGTCGACTGGGTGACTGTGAGGCGGCATAGTCACGGGTCAAAACACCGCTCTTCCGTTCCGATCAAAACATCAAACAGGTTCTCCCCACTCAGTGACGCACCCACTGAGAAACCTGATGAAAGTGCTCTAGATGTCAGACACTGTAATATGCTCTGGTCCCCTCCCTGCTTACCGTGGTGACGAGATACATAGCAGACTGGCGTCACTCAATGGCTGGATGTCTAAGTGGTGTCCGCAGAATAACATAGGTTTCATAGACAATTGGACGAGGTTTTGGGGCAGACCTGACCTTTTGAAAAGAGATGGTTTTCATCCCTCCAGGGTTGGTGCCGCTCTTCTCTCTAGAAATATGGCACATAGTCTTAGAGTTTGTACTTGACTAACTGGGGCCCAGGTCAGGAAGCAGACAGACTGGCTAAACCGACCGTCTGCTAGCCGCCTCACGTCAGAGAAATCAGTTAATTCTCAGCACATAGACTCTTTCACCTAGATATCACACTATAGAGACTGTGTCTGTTCCCCGAACTAGAAAATACAAAAAAACGTCCAAACCAATTTAAGACTAACAATTTAATTGATGTTCAACAAATAAAAAACAGATATAATACAGAAAAACAAATGATAAAACTTGGCTTATTGAATATAAGATCCCTTTCTACGAAAGCACTTTTTGAAAATGATCACTGATCATAAACTAGATGTGCTTTGTTTGACAGAAACCTGGCTAAAACCAGATGATTACATTACTTTAAACAAGTGTACTCCCCAAGATTACTGTTATAAACATGAGCCGCATCTAAAAGGTAAAGGGGGAGGTGTTGCTACAGTTTATAGCAATATCTTCAGTATTTCTAAGAGGTCAGGTTTCAAGTATAATTCGTTTGAAGTAATGGTGCTTCATATAACGTTATCCAGAGAAACAAGTGTTAGTGATAAATCCCCTGTGATGTTTGTGCTGGCTACTGTATACAGGCCACCAGGGCACCATACAGACTTTATTAAAGAATGTGCTGATTTTATATCCGAGTTAGTGCTGGCTGCAGATAAAGTTTTAATTGTTGGTGATTTTAATATCCATGTTGATAATGAAAAAGATGCATTGGGATCAGCATTCATAGACATTCTGAACTCTATTGGGGTTAGACAACACGTCTCAGGACCTACTCATTCTCGAAATCATACTCTAGATTTAATACTGTCACAAGTAATTTATGTAGATGGTGTTGAAATTATGCAGCCAAGCGATGATATCTCAGATCATTAGTTAGTCTTGTGCAAACTTCATATAGCTGCGGAATGCATAGTCGATATAAAAAACTGGATGACTAGTAATTTCTTACTGCTAAATTCTGAAAAAAAAAAAATAAATAAAGGTGTTAATTATCGGACCAAAAACCTCTGCATGTAATGACCTAGAACACTGTCTAATACTTGATGGCTGCTCTGTAAATTCTTCATCATCAGTTAGGAACCTAGGCATTTGATAGAAATCATTCCTTTGAAAAACATGTTTCTAGCATTTGTAAAACCGCATTTTTCCATCTTAAAAATATATCTAAATTACGACCTTTGCTCTCAATGTCAAATGCAGAAACGTTAATTCATGCGTTCATGACCTCAATGTTAGATTATTGTAATGCTTTATTGGGTAGTTGCTCTGCAAGATTAATAAACAAACTCCAGCTGGTTAAAAATGCAGCAGCTAGAGTTCTTAGTAGAACCAGGAAGTACGACCATATTAGCCCAGTTCTGTCAACACTGCACTGGCTCCCCATTAAACATAGTATACATTTTAAAATCTTGCTAATTACTTATAAAGCTCTGAATTGTTTAGCTCCTCAGTACTTGAGTGAGCTCTTAATGCATTATAGTCCTTCACGTCCGCTACGATCTCAAAACTCTGGCTATAATATAATACTAGCTATAATGATAATACCTAGAATATCAAAATCAACTACAGGCGGCAGATCCTTTTCCTATTTAGCGCTCAAACTCTGGAACAATCTACCTAACATTGTTCGGGAGGCAAACACACTCTGTCAGTTTAAATCTAGATTAAAGACCCATCTCTTTAACCTGGCTTACACATAATACACTATCGCATTTCTATAATTCAAATCCGTTAAAGGATTGTTAGGCTGCATTAATTAGGTCAACCGGAACTGGGAACACTTCCCATAACACCCGATGTACTTGTTACATCGTTAGAAGAATGGCATCTACGCTAATATTAGTCTGTTTTATTCTTATTCCGAGGTCACCGTAGCCACTCAGATCCAGTCCTTATACAGTTCAGATGGTGGATCAGCACCTAGAGACGACCTCGACTGCCCTGAAATGTCAGCGGAGACCAGGACAACTAGATGTGCCCCAGAGACTGATCTGTAAGGATGACCCCAGAAACTTGAAGGGAAGATCAAATGACAAATGGCTTGAAAGCAACATAAAAAAGAAGCATGGTGGTTGAGGAGAGACCCCCCCACATGATTGTAAAGTGCTCTGGGTGTATAGCAATACACAAGAAAGCGCTATATAAATGCATCATTCAATCATAAAAAATGCTGTCAATGCCCTTAAGAAGGCCCTTTTAACTCCTGCAAGCTTTTTTTTTAGCAAGTGTTTTGTGTATAGCGAGAAAGTGAACAAAACTGACATGTTGCCTTTTTACAACACTGTACTAAACAAAGAGGGTATTGGGTGCAAAAAGACTGCCTGAATGCAGAGAATTGTGAGCAGCTTGTGTTTTGAAGACATCAATGTGAAATCTGTCTGTTTTCTCTGGGGACTCTCACATCCAGTCTGAGATCAACACCAGATTTATTCATATCATTCTCAAATATAAGTGGCAATGAAAAACACTCTCCAAATATGAGTCGAACTGCCAAAGGATTGCTACTATCATTACAAACGCAAACGAAGAAAAGTGCTGTGGAATTGCAGGTGGCCACAGGCAAAAATATTCCATTCCACAATCAGAAAACGATTCAGAAATAAGCCAATATAAAAAAGAATCACTTGACAGATGGCTCCCTGTTTTTCTACAGGCTTTAATGATTAGCGGATATTTCCACTTTCAATTTACCACTGAATTATCAATTGAATTTGAAGACCGGTCTGAATTGAAAATATCCAGTCTCATTGTCTGAATCAGACTGCACAGTTGATTGGATATATGTTCTTTCCTCTTTATAGTCTGCAACAGCAGAGCTGAATTGGAAAGTGAAGGCCAGAACACTCTTATACACAGATACCATCTACTGGAGCACAACTAAACTGCATTACGCCACAAAAACAGCTTTTTTATTTATATTTCATTCGAAAAATCAACGATAGGGGTAATGGTCAAAAAATGTTTTGGAACTGGATTCAAACTAGTGTCAAACACATGAATGCTGTGCCATGATTAAAAGGTAAAAGGAAAAGAAAACAATGACAGAAATTAAGTTTACTTATTAAGTTACTATATATTTTTTTGTTTTCGTAATTATTGGCTTTTGGTAAAAGGGGAAAAAAGGAATACAAAAACACTGCTTTAACAGTGACACGTGTTTATTACTGTGCTATAACTATGTTATGAACTAAGTTATTACTGTGTAATAAAAAGAGTAGCATTGTAAAGATTGTCTAGGCATGTGATGATGTAGATCAACTACTCAAACAAGAGGAGACAGATGAAATTTCCTCTGTCTCCCTGGAGGGGAAAAGTGAATTTGAATAAAGAGGCTATAAATGATTGAGTATGTGAAGGTGACTCACCGGGTGAGTGTAATCTGGAAAGTCTTGTAGCCAGCGATGAAAGATGCTAGTCTTGTCAGACTCTGTTTTCCAGATCCCCCTACACCAACCAGTAGGGCATTTCCCCGAGGGGTTCTGATGATCCGAGAAATCTGGCGAAAGAGTGTGCAAGAGAGAAAAGGGGGTGAGACAGATGCCACCTCATTACCATGCAAAACGTTTATACACACACTTTACATAAAGAAACTCAGAGCACTTATTTGTACTTTTTTTCTAAAGTAGGACATGTGTGGGTCCGGTAATCAGCATGGAAGGTAAACTGGAATCATCTAAATTTCTTGTGAGCATTACATTTCTTTTTCTCTTTTATGCTAGAAGGATGCTAATATCTTATAGCAAGGTTATTCTTTTCAGTAGACAGATGAATTATTGAAATCTTTTTTTTTTTTTCCTTGAAAACATGATAACAAGTGCAGAATTATCAAACTGGCCAGGGTTCGGCCCTGATGATAACATGCTGTCAATACAGATATACAAGAAACATCAGTATTGTAAGATACTCAATGTACCTTAACCAGATGAATCATGGCATCCCTGAAGAAGACCATATCCATGCCTGCTCCTCTGATGCTCTCGTTATAATGACTCAAAAACATGTTCAGCCTCTCCATTAGACTATCAACGGATTTGATGGGCTCATATACTTTTGGCATGTCGAAATCAGTTTCCTCTGGCTCTTCACCTGTATATATCACAATACGTCAGTCCTAGATATTTCATTTCAATTCAGAAGAGAAGCTGCCAATCAACTCTCTACTGCACACTTTATGAAAGCAATGTTAAGAAATGCCTTTCTTGCATACAATTAAAATCAAATTAATAGAAATAATATTTGGGTGTGTCCTTATTTGGCATGTTCAAAGTCCTTTTAAGGCAATTCAGATGGTAACCATCTTGGTTACATCTGAAAGCAGTTATTTTTTACTGATGTCAGCATATTAAAACAAGAAAAAAACAGCAAAGAAAAGAAAAATACTACTGAACAAATTTATTACACTAAACATTAGCAGAATTTAACATAACTGGCTCATTTAACACACACAGAGACAATATTATATATACATATATATGGATTTGTATTTGGTTTTGAATTAGTTTCTGATCATTACCTGTGGCCTCAGGTGCATCTCTGAGAAAGTCCACAAAGTAGGAATCCACCCCAAGATCCACCACCATTCGTTCTTCTTCTCCAAGCTCTTCTTCCACTAGCTTGGCCAGCGTGTAGTCAAACCAGGCCACATCCTCTGGGGCAGTAAACCGGTCAGCAATCACACGTTTGCATTCATGCTTCCACAGCCGCAGTAATACCTGGACCAATATATTATGCAATTTTTTTTTCTGTTTAACCAATGTATGTTGGGTTTCACTGAAAGAGTACCGGAACCAACCATTCTTGTCATTTGTTTACATTAAGATTTTATTCCATTAACAGTTAATCGGAACATATGTGTTGTTAGTAACTGTATTCATACTAAAAATATAAGAGCGATAATAGTGAAAAAAAACTGAATGTGGTAATACTAAAAGTAGAATCATTAATGAATTTAAGGAATCTGTTAAGGAATCTGAATTATTAAGAGTAATCACAATCAAAAACCATGCAAGGACGGATGGATGGCAATTAAAATAATTAAATTCTTTAGAATTTCCATTGCTAGATGAGTGTTAAATTGCTTAATATGGTGTAATAACTGCAATTATGTAATTTCATTCAGATTGTTCACTGAGTGTCTGAATAAGAGCAGAAATACAGTTCGACTCACATCTGACGAGCTGATGACCTCTGCAGTCACGCTGAGCATTCCCTGCCAGATGCGGGAGAGGTCACGCAGGTTAAAAATGTAGTGGAAGTTGGCGGGAGTGGGCAGCATTTTAACTTTTGTCAATTGCCAGAGTCTTCGGGTCAGTGGAACAAGCCTGACCACTGTGTTGCGTACTTCTTCTGAAAATCCCAGATGGGAACAGTAATGACCGCAGCCTATCACGCCTGGAGCAGAAAAAGATACATATGGCATATGAAAGTGAATGAAAAAAGGATTGCGCTTAGCAGACAGGAAATTCACAAGGACCGAATGAGCAAATGTGGCCTTTATGAATGACAGAATACTGAGCTGAATAAGAATGACAATAATGTCACAAATGACAATATTACACACATATCGAGATTGCAGGCTAACCTGCATGTGAGCATGAAATATCATTTCAAAAATGGTCAATATAAAGATTCAGAGAGAGAACCACTAACAGCAACCCATAGTCAGAATCAATATGCAATTACAAAATTGGTTCTGCTTAAGCAAAGCTGTTGACAACCTTGACCAAAATAAATGAGATGTGATAAATCATACTTCTCTGAGCCAAGCCAAGAAGCATGTTCCACATACTTCTTTTGTTTTTCTGCCTTTTATAACATATTAAAATGCATGTCTAAATAGATCATTTGATGGATTCTTTTAAAATATATCTATGCCACCTGCCATCAAACTATCTGTGAAAATTCACCAAAACAATGGTAAAGCTGTGACTACCTGTAACTACAGGTCTATGGTTAAAGAACTGCAAACAATTAGAAGGAAAAAATGACACAACCACAAAGAGCAAAATACTGCCATATTTAGAATAACATTTCAAATTGGACTGAATTTTGCAGTGTGTTTAATATTGATGCATAAAGACTGTCTGTGATTGCATGTTATTGCTACAATTTTGACAGAAAGGGGTGAAACAACTCAAATTGACCTTCAGATCTTTAGCTCTTTTTTTTAAAACTATTATCCTAAAGTAATGGATTTTTACTGTTTTGCAAATGGCAGACAATGATACTAACCAAAGATCTTGTCTATGGAGGCATTGGAAGGAAGAGTACAGTTGAAAATAGAAAACTGTCTCTTCAGTCTCTGGGGGATGTCATTTCGTCCCCCTCCAGGATGGATCATAGCCGCCAAGAATTGGATATCCACAATGTTGGTGAACTCTCCTGGTTTCTCCAGGTTAAAGAAGCCATTTTGCTCCATCAGCTGCCGAACTATCTCATTGGTGACCTGTGAAGAAAGTAAATGGATTCTGTGAATACGTTTTGTTCACATTGAGAGAGAAGATGTTTTAGCACCAAGCAATTATGCAAATCAAGCATCTTGATTTATAATCACAATTTATTATATCATAATTTGATAAATGACTGCAGACATGTCTGAGAGAAAATGTACACAACTGTCGCCTTTAAACAAAATCATGTCTAACACCTGCTTTCAAGGGGGAAATACGTATATATATATATATATATATATTGTACATACATTTTACAAGGCAAATAATGCTGAATTTTGGGAATAATAAACCTAATTCCGATAGAAAAGAGGATATTTGCACTGCATGACCCATTACTTCATTTTAATGCTGTATGCCTGTAATAGAGATGGTGGTTAGTGAATAGGATGCAGGTGTTCACCTTGAAACTGTTTAATGAATGAATGAATGAAGCATTTATATAGCGCTTTATTGTGTATTGCTGTACATTCACCTGTGCTTCTTGGGAATGAAACTTTACCACATATATATATATAAAAAAGTACAAACCACATACAAATAGTGGATGTTACATCCTGCAGTTAAAAGCAACTATTTAGGCAGCTTTATCATATTTCTTACCTGGTCACCCCACTCGTTGATCACAGGCATATTGACGTCGTCAATAAAGATGGACATTTTCTTCCCTGCCGGAGGGCCGTAAGTGGTTCCCATTCGTTTATCTACATAACTCTCCACAGAACGCTAAAAAGTCCCAGACACCAAAACAATCATATACATGCAGATTACTCACAAACACATCCAACAGCTGTTCATAAATTAGGAAGCACAGATGAGATTTGGATCAATAACGCAATAGTCAATAACAAAGCAGGGAATGTGATGGAACCATTAGCCAGGCTGAATAACCCTTAACATCTGAGCCCGGGGAATGCTACGCACACTGATTAAACCTGTAAATACAATGTAATGCTGTGAGTTTACACATATATATTTCACACTACCATTCAAAATTGTGGTCGTTAATTTTTTTGTATATTTTTTTTTATGAGTGCTTTTGGGCTGTATTTATTTGATCAAAATACAGTAAATATTATGAAATATTATATATACAATCCAAAATAATAATATTGTAAATATACAATTCAAAAGAACTGTGTTCTATTTTAATATTTTAATAAATAGCCTTTATTCCTAAATAATGTATTCCTGTCATGGCAAGCCTGAATTTTCAGCCGCCATTAATCCAGTCAGTGTCACATGATCCTTCAGAAATAGTTATAATATACTGTAAACAGTGATAACCTGCAACTGTTATTTCTTGTAGCTATTTCTACCCGATTTAACCCATACAATTTAGTAAAAACCAGTTAACTTTTAACTTAAGTTTACTTTTTTTTTTTTCATCAGTGTATGCTAAATTGGTGCTCAAGTAACTTATTAGAGTTGAAAATGGATGTATTATAATACATTTTTGTGGACACTGTTATGCTTTTTCAGGATTCTTTGATAACTGAAAGTTCAAAAGCATTTATTTTAGTCTTTACTGTCACTTTTGATCAATTTAATGCATCCTTGCTGAATAAAAGTATTAATTTCCTACATTTTTAATTTATACAATATATTCATAAATCATATTAACTCAATATTTTTCTACCAAAACGTTGTAAAATGCAGTGCAGGGACTCTTTTAATTGTTTTTCAAATGATAATGTATTGTATTTCAGTTGAAGTTTAGGCAGTTTAGGAGTTTTTTATGCTTTGTGTACAAATAAATACCAGTGACATGGTATTTTGTCATGCTACATTGTTATTTATGTATTAAAAAAGGCATATTCCTAAAAAAAGCGAATTGAGCTACTTTCTTGGTACTAAAATGTAGTTACTAGCATCATTACTTTTAGTTAGTACCCAACAGTGACAATGTATTAAATTTATATTTCCTTATAAATGCATAACAACACTGTGCGTGCATGTGCAGACTTCATAGAAAGTGTTACCCGAATACCTGCTGATAAACGACAAAGACAACAAAATACTGAACATGTTTTGGGGGAAAACATTGTCTTTATGTACCTGAAACATAAGAGGTGTGGTGGCAGAAGAGAAGTTGAGACTCTTGGCAGTGTGGGACTCTGGGTCATATTTGGACATGTAGCCTTTGATGATGACGGTTTTGGCAGTGCCCTGCTCTCCTATCAAAAGCACAGCCTGAAACACATGAAGAAAACATGAGTAGACTCCAGAGAGGGCGACCATCTGTCCTTGTGTACAGCTAATCATAGTGCTGGCAGCACAGGAAAAGTCTTGATGACAAACAAAGTAGCTGTCCATTTAAACAAGCCTCATTTAGAGGAATCAATAATGCAGCACTACAGGGTGTCATTGTTGAGAACCTACACTTTATAATGCTTTTATAAGATCCAGAGGCGTTTATAATATGATCTACAATTGCAGTCCAAAAATACAGTAACCCTATTTCACCAAAATGGCGCTTGTTCATGTATCAGAGCTGGTGCTAATGGGTGTTTAGTCAGATTTTTGTGAACTCAATAATGAGAACTATGTATTCTAACAAACATAGCACATTGCAGTATTTTTAATGCTAGTTTTGAGAACACATTTTAACATCCAAAGTAATTGAATCAGCATCTTTATCATACTATATGCTCCCAATTGTACATACCGTAACACATTGCTTGTCACCATTTCTTGACAATATGAAATATGTAACAGGCAGATAAATGTGACATGCGAGACATTACAAAAAGCTTTATCAATATACACAAAATGATGAATGTGTCAGTGCTCTGACAGCAAAGGTTCACTTTGCATGAGTTTCAGAATGAAATTAAAGTTCTTGCATCTCTCAAGTAAAAACTTGCTGTAACTCAAATTCGGCATGTTGCATATCTCTCTCTCTCTCTCTCTCTCTAGAGAGAGAGAGAGAGCGAGAGAGAGAGAGAAAATGTTAATTAGCATCATTGCTGCAAATCTGTGTTGTAAATTGCTTGATGCACCCAATTTTGAATGTTAAACAAAAGCAATATTGAATGTAATAGCAGATAGGGACAATTATCCATGCATAATGAATACATTATGGACCTTTTCCTCACATAGTTTTATCATTTATTCTGAAGACTTGGAATAAAATGCACAAAACAGTGGACGTGACTATGATCGGTTTATGGTGCGCAGCTGTCCCACAGCAAACAAAATAGGCGATGATTAATTTATGACTCATACTTTATTCATACTTTAGTCAAATGATGTAATCCCTCAAAACAAGTTGCAGCAAGTTGTCATGTGATCTTGCAAAGTGATGCAGTACAACAAATCGCATAGAACTTTAAATGGCTCTCACCTTGCCCTGCTTTGCAATGGTCTGGATGAGAAAGTCAGTGCGAACATTGTCTACATTGGGCACCAATATGGATCCATACTCCGGTGTGGAGTCAGGTGGGTAAATATACTCTTCCACTCTGGTATTCCAGTGAACCTAGTGGCCTGCAAAAGAGACAATAGCTAAATTTCCATTGTCAGCACTCTGAATAGAGCATCATGCAAGCGCCTTCATTAAAATTCCAGAACGAAAAGCCAATGTGTTCTATAATTAAATAGGGTTATTAGCCCTGGTTCCGACTCACAAGCGTAGTTTTTGGCATGAAAATGCAAGGGCTGGGAAACTTTATCTAGTTTAGACATGAATGCTGCCAATTAGGGGTCTATCTGAATTGCAAAGTGTACAATATTTTGCTGGCAACCTTTCTAAATGACCTTGTGAACCAGAGACTTTTGGGTCTAAGCTATTTTGTTATATTCTTCAGCTGTGAAAACAACAAGTCAACCTGAAATATACTTACACTGTGGCCCACCAAAACCACCCAACAAAGACAGAATCAATTTTAAACAAAACTGTCTTGAGACTACAGACTTCAGATTCACTATTCACCATAAGCCTGCAAATTCGCCTCTCTATACAACAATGTCAGAGAAACTCTGCAGAAGTTTCTATATTGATTAGTTAATAATTGACCTAATTACTTTAGATAAAAGACGGAAGAGCTATAGCAAACAGAACCATAATTGACAAAGATAAATGTATTGATTGATGGATGAAAAAAATAAAGCAAATGTAACACTGGGGAGAAGGAGGTGTGTAAGTGTGTTAAATACCATCATTAGTGACGTAAAAGTCGAACATAGTGTCCTCGCTGTGGGGAGGGATATTGGGAAGGTCCAGGCCAACCTTGTCATGGTGACGGAGCCATCTCTCTAACTTCATTCGATCATCCAGTTCCAATAGGGCTCCCACACTCTACATCAGAGCGAAGACATACAGACGCTCCATGTGCTCACGAGACAGCTCCCCTCCCTGCTCCTGATGGGTTACATCATCAAAGGCATCATCAAAAGTCTGTCTGATATCTTTTATTATTATTATTTTTAATTTTATGCACAATAAACCAAGAGAATAGATATTATGCTTATATAGAATTCAAAACATGGCATTTATATGAAATAGAAATGTTGTAGAAAATGTACATCTTAAATGTTACATTTGATCAATTTAATGTGTCCACGGTGAATAAATGCATTAATTTATTAAAAAAAACTTACTGACGCAAACTTTTGAACAGTAGTGTATGTTAATGTGACCTAAAAATCTTAGCTAGTATGTGCAAACTACAATAATACATTTGACAAGGGTGTTGTAAGCTACTTGACATGCAAGAAGGCTAGCCAATCATAACAGATGCCATTTAATTATACATATCACACCTGTAATAAATAAATAAATAAAAGTCTGTTTATTTCTAAAGGTCAAAGAGAAGGTGCAGCTAACACTAAATTGTGATGTTTGAAGTTTTGACTAACATTGTAAGTAGACTTCACAAGGCAAACAAAAAAATAAACAGAAGTGTAGACTAGACTATATCCACTTTATGATAAATATGGCTTCTTTTACGTAAAATAAAGAAAGGAAAAGACGCATCAAACTTCTTTCATAATCAAATACAGATCAGGCCATGCGGTTAGGCATAAAATGTTTCTTTTCGATAGTGTTAATATTCTCCAACATTCAATTCATAACAATATTTTGACTCTGTCTGTGTTATGGTCCTTGACAGAAATGTCACATAATCATTTGTAGGTTGCATTGTTGGGGCATCTTTTCTATAGAGACAGTGGGTATAATGTATATTCAGCTCATGTATAATTGAGCTAGAATTCTCACAGAATGATAGTGTGGTGACAATAGGGCTGTATAATGTGTATCTCTAACTAAATGATTTCCAAATGACAGTGCAAGGGATAATGTGACATTTCCTGGGAACAATTCCTCCTAATCTTATTCATGACTTTCAGATAAGGGAACATCTGCATGGGTCGAATATCAAAAAGACATGCACTGATTAAAACTGGTCAGGAATTCACATATTTGTAGACGGATTTAAGCTTTTTCTGCTTGTATTGCATCATATAATAATAATAACAATAATAAGTTGACATATTTGATTTTCTTAAGCTGATCAAAAATAATTAAATATTTAAATTTGATGATGACCACCGTCAAGATAAGTCAAATCTCACTGCATGAAATGCAGTGAAATGGTATTATTTTGCAGTTTTGTGGGAAACAAGGTTGCTAGATGCTAGGAGTGTAAAGGGTTTGGGGTTAGATAAAAATATTATAGGATATAGTGCCAAAAGGTCATAACTGCAGTCTGCTAATTGGTGAACCCTGGTACATAGTGTATGCAATAAACCACTGGACTACAGCTCTGTTCTTGACAGAAGCTAAAGTTAGTCTTGACAGAAGCTAAAGTTAGTAGGCAGTCTTTCATTGCTGCAAAATCTGGGTTAATGAGGACTACAGCTGTTGAATCACAACCTTGGGCTGAATGAGTCCTTGCAGCATGTTTATGCACTGCATGATGATGAAGGCCTCCAGCATTTCCATTTTATACTGCAAAGATTGGGTGCTGAACCGATAGAGCTCAGGAAAAGAGGAGGAGAAGAGCTCCCTCAGGACCACCCCTTCCTGAAGGGAACGATTCTTCAGCCAGCCCTAAAAGCACACACACAAACACACAAATGAAAAACCTGTTAGGAATGACACACACAGAGTGGGAGATAGACATCCGCACACGGAAATTAAATGAAGTATCCTTTAGAGCTCAAAAATAGTTTGTCCTTCTTCTCTGTCTTTTTCTGGCTCTCTCTCATTTACTCTTCATCCACTGAACAGTTGAACACTTTGAAGTCTGTTATAAAGACAGAGAGAAATGCCTTGGGGATTTCAGACTCCATTAATTCAGAGTGGAGTATAAGGAATAACTAGCGGAACCACTGGTTTTCACATTCAGGGTTCTGCAGATGTCTTTCTTCACTTCTATGATGCAAATGTGGAGGGACATATTTGTAGATTTTTGTCCCTCCACTGAAAGTCATTTCTCCCTAAAACTTTGATGCTTCAAAATACATTCAAATCTAGTGAAGTTCTGAAGAGGCATGATTGAATCATATGATGAAGCCAATGACCGAAAGCTTTATGGGTTTGGTTGGATTTTTTGAGTTTGTGGTTGGGTTGGGTTTTTGGGATGGGTTTTTGGTTGAACTAACCATTTAGGTCAAACACAGAAAATGAGAAAAATAGACAGCTTAACAGAATAGTTCACCAATAAATTAAAAATCTGTCATCAGCTGCTCACCCTCATTTTGTTTGAAAGCTGCATGATTCCATTTTTTATGTATGTTTGTATGTATTTATGTATTTATTTATTTTTTAAATTCAAGGAATATACTGTAATCTCTTTTGGTGTAGCTCTCATGTCTCTTTCATCCTAATTTAAACCTGCACTTTAGAGTGTACATTGTTGTGTCTTTTGGCCAATTTTGTAACAGATTTTCGGTTAACCTAAATTTTGGTCTGTTCCTTGTACAAAGCTACAGGTACATTATGATAATGATTCAGAAGACCATGGCACACTCTTTTTTTCTTTCTTTTCTTTCTTTTTTTCCCCCATTTTTAGAGCTTTACATTCACTTAGACTTGAAAATATGCTAAATATCTCATTTTGTTTCATGCAAAGGGAAAAAACTCGAACAATGGAGTAAATTAATTTTCAGTTCCACTTTATATTAGATGTCTTTAAAGGGGTCATCGGATGCAAAATTCACTTTACAAGTTGTTTGAACATAAATGTGTGTTGGAAGTGTGTGTACACATCCATCCTATAATGATAAAAATCCACCCAGTGTTTTTTTTTTTATCCCTATTTTAAA